TGACCGTTACACTGCCGGACAAAAACAAAGCAGCTGATTGGTTAAATTCAAACATTCTCAGCCAATCAGAAGGAACTGCAATGGCTTTGTCTGCCCTGACTGAACAAATGTGTGACGATAACAAATCCAACTTCCATCTATAATTGTGTGGTTAGGATCCCGCCCAAACATAGTGAGGTAATAAAGCAGAAGTAGGAAGATATTAGTCACTCATGCGAAGATATTAGCCAATCATAACAGACGTAATTTACATATAGAAGTCTTAAAGGTACAGTCAAGGTACAGGAAATTCTAAAGTCTAAAGTAAGCATACAGCTGAACACAGTCTTTTCAAGCATATTCCATTTGATAGCACGCACGAAAACACACACACACACACTCAAAAGTTTCTTTCTCTGTAGATGTTATGACCGATAAAAACGTCTTTGCACAGTGTTGCCACCTCAACGTGCTTGTGCGAGCTGAGCATACATAGTATTCATGGTTAGAAAATTCTGGATGTGCGCAAACTATGCTGATGATGAAACCTATGCCACATGCACTGCACACATAGCACTGACCCTGAATCCTAGTGACCCTGTTACACATTACATGTTTTTACTGTCGTAACAACAGTAATTGGTGTATAATTACATGCAATTAACACTAATCAAACCCAAATCTTAACCTTAAAGTACGTACGTGGTCTTAATTAATAATACTCAGTACTTAAAAATGTAACAAGGACACCTTAAAATAAAGTGTAACCAAACTTTGGGCTTACTTTTGTCCAAAGAGAGCACTGAAAAGATGGTTACACTTTATTTTAAGGTGTCCTTATTACGGTGTAATTATACATACAAGTACGGAGTAATATTAATTAATTACATGTACTTACTATATGGTTAGGGTTAGGATTTGGGTTTGGATTAGGGTTACTTGCATGTAATTATGCATAATTAATTGTTATTATAATAGTAAGTACATGTAACACGTGTAACACAGACACCTTAAAATAAAGTGTTACCGAAAAGAGATATTAAACAACAACAACAACAACAAACTTCTAGACTATTGCTGTTAAAACAGCATGCAATTCAGCCTAATCCACTCAAAATGGCAGCAGACCAGGCTTGCAAGGACAGCAATAAATAGAAACATTGCTTATTAAGAAAGTGCAACAGAATAACCGCATCTTACATAAGTGCTCATGAAACACGCTCTAAATGTCCTACAGCAACCAAGACACAATGTCCCTCTTTACTGCCGCAGGTAAACATGAGAAAACACAGCACTCACTGGTACAAACATCAGCTGACATGGAAATACTTTCAGAACGGTTTCAACTACTGATGATGATATGGATATGAGTCTAAAAATAAGATTTAATAAGGATCCAAATAGATGAACCGAGTGGCGTTTGAACGTTGGACTGAGAAATGTGTAAATAATAAGATGATATGCACAATGTTAATAAAAAAATCAATCAATCAATCAATCAAGTAATACAACTTCTCATCCGGGGACTGATATTAAAGGTCAAGGGTCAAAAGCCAGCACTGGACACAGAAAGGCTGACAGAAGGTTTAGTTTTTTTCCAATATCTCTTCTCATATTACCAAAAGACAGTGTGTTGATCACACTGACCTGATCTGACAACCAATCACAGCAGGACAAATCACCCTCACACACCTGCTTAAAGGGACAGTCCACCCAAAAATAAAACAAATTATCATAATTTACTCACCCTCATGACGTTCCAAACCTGTATGAGTTTCTTTATTCTGTTAAACACAAAAGAAGGTATTCTGAAGAATGTGGGTAACCAAACAGTTTCGGTTCCCACTGTATGGGCAACAAATACAATGGAAGTCAAAGGGAACAGAAACTATTTGGTTACCAACATTCTTCAGAATATCTTCTTTTGTGTTTTGCAGAAGTCAGTCAGTCGTACATTTTTGGAATGACATGAGGGTGAGTAAATGATCACAGCATTTTCATTGTTGGATGAACTATCCATTTAAAGCTGCAGAAAATGAATGATTGTTTTCAAACTGGTATTCCAAATTCATCTTTTGTACAGTACAGATTTATTTTAACATTACGTTAACATTAACATCTGGCCATCTTGCCATATGGACAGTAGAGAGATGACAAAAAGGGGCAGTTGATGAAGAATGGGATCAGGAAATATTGTGAGCCGGATGTGAACTTGCATTGCCAGCATGAGCACAATCAGCTTTCAAAAGGCTTTTAAGTTGAACATGATCAGTCAGACCACCATAATCACCCATTCATCCTGGCCAGAGTGTGCAGTTATCCTCTCCATTACACTTGTCACAGTGGGAAATCTTTGAGTGTTTAGTGTCCTGCTGAAAACTAAAGTGACAATGAATCATGCCTTTATCTGAAAGCTCACAGAACTATATGGGATGTCCTGTCATGACAGCAGCTCTTCCATCACTCACATCCAAGTACAAGCAACACAAAGTAAACATCCTCTACATATTATCAGCATTATGTATAGAATCACAAAGGGTTTTCTTTTCCTTAAATTAAAACATTTTAGGATCACAACAAGCAATTGAAAGTAGTGACACTATTAACCAAACGTTTTATTATTATTGGTGTTTTTTTTTCATTCATTCGGATGGCTCATTTCTAAGAACAGGTAAATAATAATAATCATAATACAGTAAAACCGTATATTTATTTATAAAACAATTCTTTCCGTTTCTGGAATCTGACTGGCTGAGAGGAGTGCAATATTCTAGTGATGATAGCACTCCAACCGTTTCACTGTTTGTATCACTCCGCTTGCAGTATTTCTTACAGCGAGTGTCATGGCGGACACCCAAATCCACTTACATTTTTATAAATAATAAGGTTTTTGAAACCTTAATAACGAAATGCATTTTTAAGAGTTTTTAAGTGAGAATGTAGTTGTTTAGAATTCCAATTTGCAGTTTGATAATAAAGATAATGTCTATTTGAATACTTGCTTCAACGTTTTCGGAGATCGCACCCTAAACCCTCGTGGTCTTCCTCTGAGTCCACACATTCGTGACGTAATGCCGCTTTGACTGTTGGGTAGAAGTCTGCTGCGGAGCTCGCCCCAGTGCAGGCTCGGCACAAGTGTGCATCGAGGGCGCATAGCAGCCGCAAAGGGGGCACTCGCGAGCACCCTTCTGAATGCTAAAATGACGAATGGGACACCCTACAGTCTCGTGGACTAAACAGACACGCGCACGTGTAAGTCCGCAAGACCGCAAATGCACGTGAAGTGTGCCTTTTGGGAGAGAAACATTTGAGACTGAAACAGGGATGTAAACAAGGAAGTTATTTTTACTTTCAAAAACATCTTCTAAGACGCAGTTAACAAATGCACTGAACAGCTGTCATCTGAAATCACCCTCAACAGATGAAAGGACAGTACAACAAAGATATCGCTTTCCTCAGCGGACATTCAAACTAATGTTTTATTGTGAATATAAGATTGAGCTGAAGAATGAATGCTGTATCAGATGCAGGCAAACACACTCGCTCAGTCCATCTCTCTCATAATACTCTACATAATACAGTGAGCTTTTAATACAGTTATACAATAAGCTTTTAATGAAGCAACTCAACGCTCCTTCGTTACAAAAGTTCTAAAGTGACGTTTTCGAATTAGTAACGGAGGCTTCAGCTCAGCTGTTAAACTGTCAAATGGAGATTTGAATCCGTGTCGGAAAGAAGTATACTTTGTTTTTTATTTACACACTTCTGCCGTCGAGCTGTTGTATAAAAATTTGTATCAAACAGTATTAGAAAACAGCAGCTTGATCCCTGAATCTCTAAGACAATCTATTATAAGCTGATCAGAGATGGTCATGTTGTTATGCGCCACTGGACATCACAGGACAGCTGAGCTGCTGAGGTTTTATAATTCATGTGCTTCCTGTTGGAGTTTGATTATGATCCAACAGAGACACACACCCGAAATCAGATGCAGACAGATCTGCAAACACTTACAAATACACACAACAAGGAGTTCATATCAGAAACAGCAGCACACACGCACACACACACACACACACGTTGTAGGTTTGTATGACTTCAGACAGATCCACCACACACACAGACACGCAAACAAACACACGCACGGCTTGTTGTTTGTCATTTCTCCGATCACAAATGCAGACATGGTTTTATGTTTACGCGGCGCGATGCAACGCAACGTGTAAAAAGACAGTATAAGTCATTATAATCCATAATTATGTCCCCACTGGATGCAATAAATGCCTTGTTTATAATGGGTTTTCATGTTTTTGTCTCGTCGCTCCGGCTGGACACGGCATCACAGTATGGTGAGGGGCGTAACATTTCCGTCTCACGCTTGAGGTATTCGGCCAATCACAACGCACTGGATAGCTGGCCAATCACAGCACACCTCGCTTTTCAGACCGATGAGCTTTGTAAAAATCTACGTGTTTCAGAAAGGCGGGGCATAGAGGAGAAACAATAATGTACAGTATGTGGAAAATAATGTGCTTTTTGAAACTTAAACCGCATAAACACATTTCATTACACCAAATACTGTTCTTTTTAGCAACATCATATGACCCCTTTAACATTTTCTTAACATGTTAACATGTTCCTATTATGATTCAACACATTTCCATCATGTTTTAACATGTTGCTAGCATGATATAAAGGGGTCATGAACTGCCTTTTTTATTATTTTGTACTGTTCTCCGAGGTCCACTTATAATGTTATCACAATTTTTACATCAAAAATCATCATAATTTAGAAGTAATAGGCTATTTTCTGTCCTGTCTATCATGTTCCTAGCATGGTTTAACAAACGGCAAACGTGTTTTAACATATTTTAACACATTGTTAGCATTTTTACCATAATGTTACGGTTAATGTTAACATGCTTGCGTAAATGTTTTTGCATGTTGACATTCTGTTTCTGTAAGTCAGAGTCAGAACATCCTGAAGAAGAAGGGGAGTCTGGACATTAACAGGTCAAAGGTCAAAGGCGAAGGTTCATGTACCGTAGAGCTAGCGTGTACGTGCCCGGCTGTCTCTGGCTCTCTCGGATCAGATAACTTCCCTCAGCCACACTGAGCAGTTGGTCGGCTTCCTCTCTGGAGATCATCCCGTGATACCTTCACAACAAACCAATCAAAGAGGGAATATTAATAACACCGCATTAGGTCTGAATCCTGAATCAGCTTATTTAAACACTGGGGATTCGTGTCAGTCCACACCGGCAGAATCTGAACTGGGTCTGTAAGGAGTGTAATGAAACTCACTCTCGTCCATAGTACTTCGGCCGATTCTCCACCTGAAACTCAAGAGAGAGATCATTACAAAAAAGTTCAGGAGCACACATATCACTGGAGAACATCCCAGTCTACAGCACTATCTATAAGAGATTGATTTAAGAGACTAAACTGAACTTAATGGATGAACATACAGTCAGGCAGTCATCATCGCACATTAATAAACACATAAATAAATGGAATGTTGACTAGAGTTTAATTATTTCATCACAAAGTGATACAGAGTTTCATGAGGGACATGAAACTATCAAAGCTAATGGGTTATCAGTGACAAACTGCAAAATATAGGGGAATATAGGGAAGACGCCGCTCTTAGGAGCAGTGTGCATTTACTGTTAAACTGGAACATATTTAAGGGATGAGTTTAGGATGTACAGGATGATACACATCAATAATATATAATTAATAAATGTGAATATATATAGGCTAATTTTGGTTCAAGTACTGTGAAAATCATCATAAAGGCCATCTCGCTCCACTATGGGATGTGATGACCCCTTCCTGGGAGCAACGCAACGCAATGCGTAAAAAGACAGTATAAGTCATTATAATCTGTAATTATGTCCCCACTGCATGCAACAAATGCCTCGTTTGTAATGGGTTTTAATGTTTTTGTCTCGTCGCTCCGGCTGGACACGGCATCAACAGTATGGTAGGGGTGTAACATTTCCATCTCACGCTTGAGGTATTCGGCCAATCACAATGCACTGGACAGCTGGCCAATCACAGCACACCTTGCTTTTTCAGACCGATGAGCTTTGTAAAAATCGACGCGTTTCAAAAAGGCGGGGCATAGAGGAGAAACAATAATGTACAATATGTGGAAAATAATGTGTTTTTTGAACTTTAAACCGCATAAACACATTTCATTACACCAAATACTGTTCTTTTTAGCAACATCATATGACCCCTTTAATGGGTTGTCATAATAGCAATAGACTATGTATTCTCAGCAGGCCTGTGGGTTAATAATGAAGATCTTTTTAAATAATACAATGAATTACAATAATTATTCAATCAAATAATGAAAATACCACCAACAACATGCTACTGGAGACCTTCTGACCCAGTTCACCTGACGAATCTAAATTAATTACTGCATCCACAAATCCCTCACTAACAAACAGACATGAACATTTTAATATGCAACAAAACAAAACAAAAAATATACAAACCTATTTGACAGAATGCCACAACTGGCCAACCAATAACAAGTATTCCAGAGAGCCCTGTAATAAATGCTGCTAATCTGGATTTTATTTCGATTAATTTAGAATTATAATGTAAGATTTATTCTTTTTTTTTTTTTTTTTATCAATAAGCATTCTTTTTTCAATCACATACAGTATATGCATTTTTGTTAATTACTGTGAAATGTGTCAGGACACACTGCTTTACTCGTGATCGTGATTTTAATGGTATACGACTGTAAAAACGATACTGTGAAAACCAGTTCATTGGTTAGCAGTATCTTCCCTTACTATATATGGTGGAAAAACTGTAACAGATCTATTGGGACATTTCAGGTAATTTTACAGTAAAATACTGTTAAATGCACAGTTTTTGGAACTGAAAAGGAACAAGTCATCTTACAATTTACAGTGTGAAAAAGGCAAACTGACATTCCCAGAATTCTTTATTGATTTCTTTTAGTGTCATGTGTGTGTTACCATGATAGTGTTTTGTGTTTGTGTGAATGGCACTGTGTGCACTTTATATATTAGTTTGTACCTCCTCAGCTTATGGAAAAGCTGTTTGTGATGAACTCTGATTCATCATGTGCCTTTCTCTTAATCATATGTGACCCTGGACCACAAAACCTTTTAGTAAACCTTTAAACCTTTAGTCTTAAGTGTCAATTTGTCCGAAATTGAGATTTATACATCATATGAAAGCCGAATAAATAAGCTTTTCATTGATGTATGGTTTGTTAGGACAATATGTGGCAGAGATACAACTATATGAAAATCTGGAATCTGAGGGTGCAAAAATATAAAAATACTGAGAAAATCATCTTTAAAATTGTCCAAATGAAGTTCTTGGCAATGCATATTACTAATCAAAAATTAAGTTTTGATATATTTACGGCAGGAAATTTACAAAATATCTTCATGGAACATGATCTTTACTTAATATCCTAATGATTTTTGGCATAAAAGAAAAATCAATAATTTTGACCCATACAATGTATTTTTGGCTGTTGCTACAAATATACCCCAGCGACTTATGACTGCTTTTGTGCTCCAGGGTCACACATGTGTTTTTATGGATATCAGTATGCTATAAAAAACTGATTTGAGTAATATGATATATTAACATTACATCAGATAATGAATATTTTTACTGTAGAATTAGTCGATTTTTTGTGGCATTTTATTTTTCATTATAAGCTTTTCAGCACCAAAAAGACTGCATATAAGCCAAATATATCGACATTATAAATAATAGTGTAAAGACAAAACAACTAACAAAAAATACATTTTCTGAAAATGTCCATTGGTCGCATTTAACCCTTGATGCGACAATCAGCAGCGTAAAGCAACGCTCAAATAAATTACCATAACAAACCCCACAACACCCACAATGATTAACCTTGAGCTTACAGAGAATCCAGCAGCACTGAATGCACAAAGCATCCTCATCCTCCCTTCCCTTCCCCCATACAGCCTCCGTTCCTCCCACAGTCATACAGGAAAAACACAAACGCAGGGCAGAGGAACAGTGCTGCTGTGTGAGCAGGTTTACCACGGGGATTCTGACTAATATATATATATGAGAACTTTTAACAATGACATGAGAAAAACAAAAGGTCCTACACAATGGGAAATCCAGATTATTACAGCTACAAAAACAAGAAAATTGACACAGCTGAAATACACACATCCAGGAGGAATAAACCGACCGATGCAGCTTTAAAATGTAATGAAACACAACACCCAGACAATGAGAAGCGTCAGTTAGTGAATGAATAACTGTTTCTGCATAAATTGGATGTGGGATGGAATAACATCGTTTCCTGATGAAAAAAAAAAAGGTGGAAAGTGTTTTGTAAAGCAAGGTTGTGTGTTTGTGTGTGAAATGACCGACAGGGTAATAAAACCAGCTAATGATGGGAATCAGCAACACTATAGAGCTAATCAATCACTGAAAGCTAGAGTTTAACAGTCAAAGGGCCTGTGTGTGTGTGTGTGTGCTGAGTGCGCACTATTTGCTGTATGAAGAATGAGAGCGTCTGATTTCTGTCTGGGTTTCTCTATCAGCATCCTTAAATGCTAATATCAGCAATGACCAGGTGACATCAGATAAATGAGCCAATGGTTTCACACATTTTCACCCAATTTCTCACCTCATTTATAAAGTTAATTTCATTACATTTGTTCTCTCCTATTTTGGAAATCAGAAAAAACAGGACATCAAAATTGGCCCCATTTACTAGAATTAATGTTCCTGCTCGTAATGTGCACAATTCATCGGTTCTTGTTATTATAAATAGACTTCATTTTTCAAAAAGAAGTATATGTCCATGTGAAGTTACAGTAAAGCTCCTGTTGTAGTTTTTTTTATTTAGATTTAATATATAAAATTCATAATCAATGAAGGATTAAATAAACCTGTTGTCACATCACACACCATTTAAAGGTTTGGAGTTGGTAACATTTCTTAATTTTTTTTTGTTGAAAGAAGCCTCCTCTGCTCACCAAGGATGCATTTATTTGTTCAGAATACAGTAAACACACTAATATTATGAAAAATAACAAAAACAACTGTTTTATATTGTAATATATTTTAAAATGTAATTTATTGCTGTGATGCAAAATTGAATTTTCAGCTTCATTACTCCAGTTTTCAGTGTCACACGATTCTTCAGAAATCATTCTGCTTTGAATATTTCTTAAAATCAGTGTTGAAAACAGTTGTGCTTCTTCATATTTTTTTGTGGAAACTGATGCAGGATTTATTTTTCTTTTTTCTTCAGGATTCTTTGATGAATAGAATGTTCAAAAGAACAGCATTTATTTGAAATAGAAATTTCTGGTCTTTACTCTCAGTTTTAATCAATTTAATGCATCCTTTCAGAATAAACACACACACACACACATACATATAAAAATTTGTACTGAACCTCAAATTATTGTAGATCACCAATAAATAAATAAACAAATAAAAACAAAAACACAATAAAATGTCTGGGCCAGATTCAGTCAGACTAAAGCATGTAAACACCAGTGATTGCACCTAGTCCTGCAGCTCTGCTGAATCAGCTCAATCAGGTCCCATCAGTTTTTAGAACCAGCATACAACAGAATGAAACCGTTGTGACGTCATTACAATTGAATTTTGCTAGTGGTACACAAAACATTTAGCATTTAACAAGCATCTATTAACACTAACAGTCCTATCTGAGCCAGATTTTGACATTGGTCTGCTCTGCTCAAGCTGAAAAATCCACTAAACAGAGAAATCTGTGTTTGCGTTTACATGATATTTCAGAATGGAATCACCCTGGAATAAACTATTTGCAAAGTTCTATTCAGGATGTCAGCCTACAAATGCATTCTGTTGTATGTATATGTACAGGTATATCTACAATACAAAAAAAAACAGTGAAGTGTATGAATTAGACAACATAATGTACCTGTTTAATCAAGTAACCAGGCCAAAATGATAACTGAAA